GTGCATTTGATAAATACAAATAAGGCATTGTCAGAGCTTTCGCCCGGACATGGGTCCAACACCACCGATTATACAAATGTGTTGGTAAATGAAACGTTCCTACAAAAAGCCTTTATCGCCTTGCCTAAAGAACTACAGGAATCCCCCTTCCAAAAAAGTTTGTCTTTTAAACCCGACAGATCCCAGCCACCTGAGACATTTTCACATGTGTGCTTAGCCGTCGCCTATAACGCAAAAGCGGAAGGCATTTCCAGCGAATATTGCAAAGACAATGTCGCTCTTTACACGCTAACCTAACATTTTCTCATTAATGCCCGATAATCTTCCGATTCATCACATCCACGACAGTCACAACAGCTAAGCACAGCACAGCAGCCCGCGTCGATACATCAACCACGAACGCGGTACAAAACCGTCATAATCCAGTGAATATATATTTTTGAATAGTGGAACAGCACACACCTCATTCACTTCATTCAAAACGCCACTTACAAGACAACCGGATCACAAACACTGTAAACTGCACCTCGTGCCGCCGAACGCGTGCCACGTCATCGGCCCGGTGACCTGAGGTCACCGGGGCCGACTCCTCCATCAGGGCAAGCAGCGCCTCCTCCTACGGCGACTCCTCCGCCAGCGTCAGCAGGCGGAGCCGGCCACTGAGTGGGCGGCCGTCCTCGCCTTCGCCACCAGCGATCTCTTGTCGCAAGCCATCGTCCACCGCTTTTTGCAACATCTCTTCACCTTTCGTCCTTTGCAACGTGCCCTCGTCAGTGACGGCTCGCTAGGCGTCACCACCACCGCCACCACCTCCCCCTCCGCCCTCCTTCCACCCGCTCCACTGCAGCGCGGCCCCGTCCGCCGCGTCTTCCGCTGCGGCCCTCTCCCGGCTGGCGGACGGTACTCCGTCGGCTGCGCCCCTCCCTCCGGCGCCCCTTCAGCCGGCCGTCGGCGTGTCGACTTCGGCGTGCGCCGCCAGTGTCCTGCAACTGTGCTGCCGGCGCGCCGGCGCGCCAGCGCGCCCCGGCCGGCCGCTGCGCCGGGGCTCGGCACGATCACCAGCATGGTGCGCGGCGCGCGCAGCAGCGACGCGCCGGCTGGTCGATGCGGCTCCTCCCCCTCCTCCGGCGAGGGGAGCGTGATCACTCGGCAGGAAATGCGCAATGTGTCTTTCAGCCAGAAAAGCCGTGAATGGAGGACCGCCTTGGTCGATGCCGCCGCGCCCAGCGAGCCGGCGAGGAGCGGCGAGGCACCGGCGTCTGTCGGGGCAGGGGGAGAGACTCGTCGGGGACGGCCGCACCTCAGGCGTTTACAGGGAACGCGCCGGACACGCGTCGGCCGCCGTTCAGTCGTTTGAACGAGACACCTGATGACAGTGAATGGGACTGCCCGCAAGGCATTATGGAGGTGATTGGAGATGGAACTGTCGCGATTCAGCAGTTCCAAAGAGAATTTTTGCAGTAATTTTCGAGCTCAATGACATTTATGCGCCAAGCACGTTGTGAAAACCTTTACAGCACATAAAATAAAACGGACACACAGGACAGTCAAAACTAAAGAGAAAGTTCCTTAGCCGAACAGAACGTGACTTACATGTACAACCACGCAAAACGTCACCTACGAGCGCTCCCTCCCTACCGCGGATGCCCAGCGCACACAAGGCCAGCGCGGTCCTCGCCGCCGCCGAGGCGGGGGAGACAGAGACATGGCAACATGAGAAAAAGACCCCAGAAAGGATGGTGGTGATATTCCGGTGACGGAAACATTCAGGCCGCACCACAGTCTAAACGAGACAAACCTAACAGAAAGCGACCTCAGAATAAGTAAAAAACTAAGCGAAGAAATAACCGCATGCGCGCGAGAAACAAGGAACACGGACCAGAAGGCAGCTCGAAATACAGGACGATAACCGAAAGAAACGGCGAATGAGAGCTCACGGGACAGTGAGGAGCATTGCAAACAGCAAAGCCGATGACTACAGAGACGTCCGAGACACGAGATCCAATGCGTCGCGCTGTGAGCGCCAGACAGACCCAGCGACGCTGCGGTGGCCGAGCCCTTACCGGGCGGCCTAACCGGCCGGGCGAGCGGCGCTTCCTCAGCCGGCGAGTCGTCCACCACCGCCAGCTGGCGGGCGGCAGGCCGGCCGTCGTGAGGCACACCCACTTAACCCAGCCGCGGGAAGCGTCGGATCAGACGGCAGATGGGCGTCGGCAGCGCCAGCGACCAGCGCGGCAGGCTACCCAGATCGCACGTGACATTAGCGACCGGCGGCAACCGCAGCACACCCGTGACAATCGCAGAATGGCTACAGCAACGATCTACGACAGCACCAAAGGCCTTAACAGCCCGGTGGAACTGGGATGGTGGTGGGACGGCGGCAAAGGACTTGGCAACATCTGACTGGTCGTGCGCGTGGATATCTTCCGGTCGGTGGTGGGGCGGCGGCAAAGGACTTGGCAACATCTGACTGGTCGTGCGCGTGGATATCTTCTGGTCGGTGGTGGGACGGCGGCAAAGGACTTGGCAACATCTGACTGGTCGTGCCAGTGAATATCTTCTGGTCGGTGGTGGGGCGGCGGCAAAGGACTTGGCAACATCTGACTGGTCGTGCGCATGGATATCTTCTGGTCGGTGGTGGGACGGCGGCAAAGGACTTGGCAACATCTGACTGGTCGTGCCAGTGGATATCTTCTGGTCGGTGGTGGGGCGGCGGCAAAGGACTTGGCAACATCTGACTGGTCGTGCGCGTGGATATCTTCTGGTCGGTGGTGGGACGGCGGCAAAGGACTTGGCAACATCTGACTGGTCGTGCGCGTGGATATCTTCTGGTCGGTGGTGGGACGGCGGCAAAGGACTTGGCAACATCTGACTGGTCGTGCGCGTGGATATCTTCTGGTCGGAAGCGCACCAGGATCCCAAGACCTGATCCCAAGTCTTGTGACCCGGCATGTGTGACCCTTACCATCTCAATATGCCAATAGGTTAGTATTCCAACAGGTTACCGTTACTTAGTGATTTAAGAGGCCCGGCTCCATGCCTGCGATCAAACGACATGTTTACTCCTGACCTCCGGACAAGACAGGCCCTACACAGCCCGTTAAGTCATAGAACCGCAACACCAAGGCACAATCTAGCCCTTCCGAGTGACCTCAACTGATTGGTGACCCCGGCCGATACCAGAGTCATCAAACCCCATCAAGCCTCCCTGATTGATGACCTGAGCAACGATCAGTCACGGGACTCGGCGATCAGCGATGTCGCCCCCCCCCCCCCCCACCCCGTTCGTGAGGAAGCCTCTGCCAGCACAGCGCGTGACACCCACCTGCGACTGATGACGGCCGTGGCCTGGAACTACAGCGAGTCGGCCACGGACAGCGCCGTCACCAGGCGCACGCACATGTTGGCCATCGTGGTGTCGAACGCCGGCAGCAGGCCGCCGCTGCTGCCCGACCGGTTCAGGCTCGAGAATGCCAGCCCTGCCGGTCAGATACGGTCAGCGGAGGGAGGGAGGAGCGCACTGGCGCTGAAGGGGGGGGGGCGGGGTGGGGGGGGGGGGGCGGCGGCGAGCCCCGGGGGCGTGGTGAGCGAACACCAGACCGCAAGTGACATCGGTGCCGGCGGAAGGAGGCGGAATAGAGGAAGTGGCCGGCGGACGAGGACGGAATAACGGAGGTGGCCGGCGGCTGGAACGCCCGTGGACACCGCCCGCCATTGACCGAGCCGGAGAATCGGAGGCGCGTCAACAGACGAGCGGTCGTGGCCACGGGCGGTCAACACGTCACCCGAGGCCACCATCCAATCCGGAGTATTTCGTCATGATCATGTCATGATTGATTGTTTGATTTGATTGATTGATTGATTAATTGTTTGTTTGATTGATTGATTGATTGATTGTTATGTCATGATTGTTTTGTTTTGTTTTGGCCACGCTTCGTCCGCCCGGCGCTTCCGCGCGCCTCGCGAGACCCTCACTCCCCCAACTCCCAGCGCGTCGGCGCCCGTGCCGCTGAGAACCCACCCCGACAGCAGCGCCACCTCTGGGCTCAGATGTGCATCTCGCGTTCAGCAGCGTTCCACCCGCAGCGGACATCTGCAGGGCCGTAAACACTACACAACACCACGCTCCCCTAACATGATCACCTGGCAGACACAAACTATTTACACGGATTCCACGTCATATTGACAAATGATTGTCTTACCATCACACTCACATTTCTCCAATCCAGCGCCGCGTCGCAGGCACTTGGCGACGCTGGCCCCTTTCGCACCCGCATCCCAGTCGCTTCGGACGGCCACCACGCGTCGCGTCACCCTCGTCACCGGCCAGCTCCGCCGCGCCGCCAACCGAAGCCTCGCCGGCACGCGCTCCGCCGCCCGCCAGCTCCGCCGCTCCGTCCCCGAGATGCGGTCGTTTCCAGCTGCGCTGCGTTATCCAGCCCGACACCGCCAAGGCGGCCTGGGCCGGCGCGTTCGGCTCGCTCCGACGGAGCGTCGGTCGCAGCGGCCAGCGCGCGCCCAGAGTCGCGTCCGCGGGGGCTCACTTGCTGTTCCGGCGCGACGGCATCCGCTTCCCCGTCGGCGTCGTCATCGGCACCCGCCGCCCAGAGTTGATCGACGTGACGTGACCAGACTGCATGTCCCACGTCGACCTCGTACAAGAAAGATCCGGGCGGCGCGACCACGCGACCCCGGATCCACCTCTGTCTTCCACTGTAGGCGCGCGTCCACACCGAACCGCCGATCCGGAACTCGCGGACTCGTTCTCCTGCAGACTGCTGTTGCTGCTCCCGCGCCGCGTGCAGAGTGGCATCAGCACTCGGGATAAGCAGATTGAGACGGGTCCGCAGGCTTCTGCAGTACATCATCTCCGCTGGAGTGCGCCCGGTCACGGCGTGAGGCGACGAGCGGTACGCCAGCAGGAACATCGCCAGCGCTCGCTCAGCAGCGCTGCCCGCCTCCATCGCCGTATTCAGGCCGTTCTGGAACGTGCCGACCGCTCACTCCGCCAACTCGTTTGAGGCTGGATGGTACGGCGCGACTCTGGTGTGCCGGATGCCGTTGGCTTCCAAGAAGGTGCTGAACTCCTCGCTGACGAACTGTGGGCCGTTGTCGCTTACCACCTGCAGCGGCAGGCCCAGTCGTGCGAAGACGTCCCGTAGAACAGCCACCGTCCGCCCAGCTACAGTCGACTTCATTGCCACCACCTCCAGCCACTTGGTGTAACTGTCCACCAGCACCAGGTAGCTGCTGCCGTAGATCGGTCCGGCGAAGCCCACATGCACCCGTTGCCAGGGTCCGCCAGCTGGCTCCCAGGGGTGACGGACTGAGTGAGGCGGCTCAGCTCGCTCAGCCGCGCACGCCGCACAGCCTCTGGCCAGGGCTTCCAGCTCCATGTCCAGGCCCGGCCACCAGACGAAGCGCCTAGCCAGATGCTTCATCCGCGCACAGCCGATGTGACCCTCGTGCAATTCCGTCTTGACCTGGGAGCGGAGTGATCGCGACACGATCGCGCGGCCGCCCCACAGGACGCAGCCGGCCTCCGTCGACAGCTTCTCCTCCTTCGTCTTGTACGGGACAAGCCCGGGGTCGACCACTGCCTCCCAGCCGGATCTGACGGCCGCCAGAACCCTCGCCAGTACCGGGTCCCGGCGCGTGCCAGCCGCGGTGTCCCGCGCTGTCAGCGCCGGTCCGCTGTCCTCCATGAAAAGCACACAGCCGCTACGTGGCTCATCCTCTTCTTGTGCATCTTCTCGGGCGTCCTCCGAACCGTCCACCGGCATCCTGGACAGCGTGTCGGCCACCCGCATCTCCTCTGTCCTGCATCTCCTCTGTCTCCTCCTGGTGCTCAGCCAGCACTTGCTCCAGCGGCGTCCGAGGGCTTGCGGCTACTGCACTCGACGCCACTTCCCCCACCAGCCCGGGGGACAGGTTCAAGCACCTCATCCACTCCCTGCCCAGGATGTTGGTCGCCTTCGGGAGGTTAGCGACCAGCAAGGTCACTTCAGCCACCAGACCCCGAAGCTGCACCTCCACCTGGGCCTCTCCACCCTGCATCTGCAGCCACCATCCATCTGCTTGCCATTTACCAGCAGACCCGCCGTCGGTGGCGCAGTATCCCTCTGCCCGGCTGTCTGGATGTGGAGCATCTCGGGGTAGGCAACCTCACTCCGCTCGCCCACCACCCTCACCGCCTCCGGCCGCTGCCGGCAGTCGCGCTTGAGGTGTCCCCGCTGCCCGCACCGGTAGCATCGAGGACCCTTGGCCCTCTCCGAGCCCTTGGGGGTGCCCCGCTCCTTCTGAGGGTCAGGGCAGTCCCGCTGCCAGTGCCCAGCCTGATTACACTTGGAGCAGCACTGACCACCCTCCCCCCCCCCCCTGGCTCTGTCTCCCAGGGCCCGGCCGCCGCCGTTCCACCGCGTGAACTTGGCCCCGAACTTCAGCTGCTGACTGCTCCCCCTCCTCACCTCGCTGATGAAGCGGTCCGTGCGCCCCGCGGCGTGCGCTATGGTGATGACATGCTGGAGCGTCAGGCCTTCAGCATCAGGCCCCGCCGCCCGCCGCAGGATCCGCTCCTGCAGCCGAGGAGCACAGCCAGCGATCAGCTGATCACGGAGCACGTCGTCCAACTGGCCGAACTGGCACCGGGCCGCCGCCTGCCTCAGCCGGCCCAGGAACTGATCGAGGCCCTCCTTCGACCCCATCCGCAGCCGCTGGAAGGCGAGGCGGTCGGCAATAACGCTCCGCCCCGGAGTCAGGCGCGCCTTGAGTTTCGCCACACAGGTATCAAACGCCCCTGGCACACCATACCGTGCCGGCAGCGTCTCGTACACAGCTTGGGATTCAGGGCCCAGCAGATGTAAAAGCACCGCTGTCTTCCTTCTCTCCTCCGAAATCCCGAGCGCCGAGAGGTACACTCCGACATCCCTTACTCAGCTGTCAGTCACTGCCGGCCTGGAACCGCACCAGGGAGGGCAGACTCAGCCCCGCCATTCTGGCCCAATCGCCCACTCAGTGATTGTTTACGTTCTGCGCCGAGTGCGCCGCTCGCCGCGCTCACTCAGCTGGTCTGATCAGCTGGCCGCGGCTGCCAGCTCGCCGCCCGGCGCTGTCATTGGTCGGTCTGACGACCCGTGCGTCTCCTGGTGCAGCGCCCCGCCCAGCGATCCGATTGGCCGAGCCGGCAATCCGCGCGCCACCTGGTGGAGCGCACGCGCAACAGCCCCGCACCCGCCGACCCAGGATGGCCGCCTTTCCCTGGCCCCACGTGGCTCGTCCGCCCCTGGCCGCCGTTCGACGTCGAGTCCCCAGCGAGTCCGCCGGCCGGCCAGCGCACGAAACCACGCGGAAAAAACCACACACCCACTGCACCGCCAAAGCGTTTACTGGCCACAGCAGCGATCATGGCCGCCCAAGTCACGGCCCGCCTCAGTCTCAGCCCCTCACTCGGCACTGTCCCGGGCGCCGCCCCGCCGGCTCACCGTCCGCGCCTCGCACACCAGCCAGTCCCGTCACTGCAGGTCCTCCAGTCACTGCCTCCCAGGGCCAGGAGTCCAACTTGACCTCCCTCCTGTGCCGAGACGCAGCCAACTCCGGACATCGGCCGCCGCCGCCTTGCTTCCTTGCCGACACGGGACGATGCGTGGAACCTTTTCTCGTCGCCAGGTATTCTGTCGTGATCTCGGCCACGCCCCGCGCGCTCCCGCTCCCGCGAGCCCCGCGAGACTCCCACTCAAGCTCCCCGGGCATCGGCGCCCGCGCCGCTGAGACCAAACACAGACAGCTGCGTCATCTCTGGGCTCAGATCTGAAACTCGGGCTCACCAGCGCGCCACCTGCAGCCGACATCTGCAAGGCCGAATCCACGACACGACAGAAAACACATTAAACAAATACACTTGTGAATTGCACTGTCGTGCACAGTTGGCTTTCTAACATCGTGGTTCGTAGGACACCAAGGATTTCAGCCAAAAATATTTTCCCGAAAAATTCGAAAAACTTTGAGATAATTGATGCTTACATATTTCATCTAAAGCTTGGCGATCATTTTTTTACTGTGGCCAGCAAATCTAATCAGACAAAACCTATCGTAGATTGCGGTGCATGCCCTGCCAATGTTTCGATCGTTTTGCCTGTCTTCGCCGCGCAACGGATGACAGAAGTGCAATGCGTCTTTGTCTGTTTGACACGGGTGTAACACTGCAAAGCTGGGGTCATGTCTGTCCAATTTCCACACGTGGGTTTCTTCCGCTTCCGATGTTCTCCGTGGGCTACGCGCTTTTTATATTTTTCATTTAAAATGTTGTGCTCATGTCAGCGTACCCACCGACAGATTCCTGTTTGACCCCCTCCCCATCCCGATTTGTCCACGCAATCTCAGAGCCGACATGGTAATGCCCACGCTTTGTGATATCTCACATGTTCCCGAATACCCAGCCAAGCCACCACTAATGCTAGCTTATGCACATGCAAGGATGCTCTCTGCTGTGTCAGCAGCGTAAGCCGCTGGTGCGCATGTGATGACGGTAAAATTAGATACGGCATCAGTAGACTGAGGCAGCAACGTACCACCAACGAATATTCTGCAACAATGCATGATGACAGCATCATTTCCAAGCCTTTTCTCCCATGGGAACGTGTGGACAGTGACTACGTGCTCTTCCCGGCGCTAGCAAATCACTGCGAAATGTACCGCTGTTTCAAGCAAAACGTTTTGTGGTGTTGCATGCGTTCTACCAGTTATACATGGAGAGAAAATACACCGTGAAGGTGTTTGGTCTAAGTGGACACCAGCAAATTACTATGAGGCACCGATGTTGACACTCATACGGGATGAGCACACCCAATGGCCATTCTGAAGGATTCACGTTGACCGTATTACACCCTTCAAACACATAAGGGTTTGAAGGGTTACACCCATAAACACATCTTGACACCGTTAACAGAGTTTGGGGGGGGGGGGGGGGTGCAATGTAAAAATGCCCCACTGGTGTTTCCGGCGGATGCCTGGCCAAACTGCATGCACACGGAAACCCAACGGGCGTCGATTTTCACGCACATAACGGTTTTGAGCGGCAATATAATGCACAGGTATTGTGAGGTGATCTTGGACTGTATTGCACACTTGAGCACACCCTGCAGACATCATTCTAATAACGGTAGCAGAGTTGTTTGGGTGCCGTGTATCGATCACCCCATGTACATTTTGAGACGGCTCCGGTCAAACCGCACATCTACACATCACTGCACATCGAGTTCCCGTGTACGCCCTCTGCACATCCGTGTCTTGCGGGAGTCCAAGGAGGTGACGTTCGGGCCCTTCGGGACCAAAAATCACGGACCCGATTGAATTCAATCCCAGCCCAGCCCCCTCCCCCCACCACCCGTAGTGCCGTGGCCTGAAATGTCAGTCAGAGGGTCTCTATAAGCATTCTCTTATTAGGGATTTCCATCCCTATACCATAAGGCCTCGAAAAGGCGCCAAACAGTCGCCGCCGTGTCCGCCTCAGTGCTTGGGACCCATTTCCGAAGCAGGCAAGAGGTCGGGACTCGCAATTTGCAATGTTCATGGTCCCTTACACAACGAAAGGCTCTTGTGTCGACCAGCGGCCACAGTGCCCAAAAGGGGTCCTGTGGAGAGAGCGAAAGAGGAAAGTGGCCCCGAGTCAGTTAGCAGCCATGTTTAAGGGAGCCCAAAGAGGGGCCGAAAGGGCTCACGGGGCCAACTATCGAGGGCCCGATCGAAACGCTACAGGGCCCGAAGGTCTGACTGTGGGTCACATAAAGGCCCCCCTATCGTAGGGCCGCGATCTCAAATGTCTGTTGGAGGGCCCCGTACGCTGCTGCGCCCAGACGGCGCTCTCAGGAGAAAAGACGGTGTCGAAGGCTAGAGCTGGGTTAGCCTTTCAAAAACGAAACCTCGCTGCTCCAGCCTGCTCTACGTAGGCTCTTAGCATGTCCGTCAAAAGGAGCCAAAATGCTGCTGTTGAGAATCACGAGCGTCTGGGTGGGTGATTAGGCACCACCCATAATCACTCACCTGTCAGGCTTTCGTTGCGCTTGTTGGTCGCACTGGTTTTGACTCGCAGACAACGCTTTGCAGGACTTACGATCGTCTCCAGAGGAGACACTTGTTGGTTGCACTGTTTTTGATTTGCGTGTTTAGCTCCGTTAGATCCAGTTGGCTTGCAAACATATTTCGAAGTCAAGTTAGGCACCACACCTCCGGGCTTCCACAAGTGATCCGCTAACATTGGTGTCTGACTTCAGTTAGAGATGCGGCAGAGAGATCTTCCATAATCCGTGACCTTTTTGTGAGCATCTTTTTTGTGATCCTCCAGTGTCCAGGAATCAGCATTCATCATTTGGATTCGCGCTCATGTTCAGCGCATCCCAAGGCGTGCCAGGCTCCCAGCAGTTCGCCTGCCCTTGAGCTTGACTGTCAGCGCAGCCGCACCACAACGCAGCATCACCGCTGAAGCGCTGGTCGGCCAAGAGCCTCGAGGGGCCCTCGCCGCGGACGCCGGACCGCAGTATCACCGCTGGAGCGCTGGTCGGCCAAGAGCCTCGAGGGACCCTCCCCGCGGACGCCGGACGGCGCCAAGCACGGCCCTGCTCCACATAGCAACACCAATAGAGTGGCGGAGGTCGTTTCCGTCGGGGTGGGATGAATACTATGCACTATGAATACGCCCGTGGGGAGAGACAAATTCGTGGACCGTGTCGTCCTCGATAACGAGCCAACGCACAAAGGATAATCTTTAAAAATGGCCGCCAACATTGATTTCTGCGCCGGATTGCCGTCTAGCCAA